TTGCGGCCGCTTGGGGAGTGAACCATTGGACAGAAGATGTTCCTCTCTGTTTCTCCTCCTCCCTGTATATTTGCCTTTCCAATAAAAAAAGGGGGGGGGCCTCCTCATTAGCTCAGATGGAGCAGTGGATGGCATATAGCAGTCTATTGGAGCTTGCAGAAGACAGCTGGTACCATAGCAGAGGAAGGAAGGCAGAACAAATTGGTCAACTACCTTAGCCAAGGATTGACAACAAATTTATGGGTGAATGGAGATTCTAAGGTAGACTATGTCAGCCAGTGTACCTTGGAAAGATGTCCTCATCCTTGCAATGGCGAGATTGACAGCATTTCAGAACTATTGAAACCACTGGAGCAGAACCCTCGGAGCACGCTCCCCATCAGAGACCCTGGGATGACATTGGTTGGCCGCTCCCTAGGGACCGAGGCGGTTGAGAGGCTGAGTGCAGCTTCTCTCCTTATTTACCCCTTTTACTCAGATACAGGAAGAAGACAAAGAACGTTTTGAAAACAATTGTCGTACCCACTTTCCTGTAAACCTTGATTGACCCTTCCCATCCTAACAACAACTTAAACAATAATTTGGGGAGTAAACCAGCTGATTGAAGATCTCTCTCTCTTTTTCTCTCTCTCCCTCTGTGTGTGTGTGTGTGTGTGTCCTCTCCATCTCTGGCTTTTGAATAAATAAATAAATCTTTTAAAAAATATGTCATTTCTACATCAGTGCCTCACCCCCCATTCCAGCTTCCTAGATGATGGCTCTGCCATCGCTGTGGGAGACCAGGGTTCTCCTGGCTTTGGCCTGGTTCAGAACAGGCTCCCATGGGAATCTGAGGCGCGGATCAGCAGATGGGAGCTCGCTGCCTGCCTGTCTGTCTCTGCCTTTCACACAGAACAAAAACAAATAAAACCAAGGCAAAATTTGCCAAACTCACATGCTGAGTGCTGGAATAGTGATTTACATTGGGGTCTAGGTGACGCTAAGCCCCTCAGAACTTCATCATTGTCCTTCACTGTATTACTTTCCTGCTCTTGTTGTAACAAATGACCAAGTTAATAACTCCAAATCATACAAATCTGTGATCTTCTAGGCTCAAGGTCAGAATTCTGTTTTTTCCCCCCTGGACTAAAATTAAAGATGTTAATAGGACTGTGCTCCTTTTGGAAGCCATATGGAAAAATCTATTTTCTCCTCTAAACCAGCTTCTAGAGGTCACCTGAGTTCCATGGCATAGGGCCTCCTCCTATACTGAAGTCAGTAACGGCCGACAAATTCCATGTCCTGTGTTATCACTCTGACATGCTCGGTTGATCTTCTGGCTTCACCGTTAACTTTAAGGAGCCTTTCAGTAACACTAAGCTATCTTGGGTAACCAAGGAACGTGTCCATCTCTAAAGGTCAATAGACTTTAATTTTCCTTTGGCACGTACCAATGTGTTCATGGATTCTGGGGATTAGGACGTGGCATCTTTTCTTTTGGGGCATCACTATTCTGTCTCCTACATCTGCTAATTACACAGTTAGCATAGTACAATGTAAGTAAATACGCTTCAGGAATATGTATTGTTTTCACTTTCACAGCATCTTTTCATTCAGGTTTTGTTGTGTTATCCTTATCTCTTGCTCGCCTTAAAACTTATTTCTCTAATTGAAAGGTGAAGTTATATAGAGAGATGGAAAGACAAAGAAAAATTGTCTAGCACATCTACTGGCTTTCGCCCTAAAGAGCCAGCACAGCTGGAGTTGGGGGATACCAAAGCCAGGAACCCAGAACTGCATCTGAGTCTCTGCAGTGAGTAGTAGGACCTCATATAATTGGGACATCTTCTGGTAACTTCCCAGGCATATTAGCAGGAAATTGGATTGATCAGGACTCTTAATGGGTGTCCACATATGATGTCAGCATGGCAGATGGCAGCTTAGTTAACTGCTACAACATTGACCCTACGTCAGTCTCTTAAAGGGTATATCTTTTCACTCCTCTTGGTAATAATTAGCCTCAGAAGCACACAGCTCTAATCTTTATGAACAACACATGGAACTTGGGGAACAATGGTAATGTGTTAGCATAGTCTCCTGTTAGGTCAAAGAGAAGGGAGATGACTCAAACATGCCCATCAGGGTCCTTCTCTGAGCACTGAGCTACTTCTGGTGCTGTGGGTCACGTGCAGGAGTCTAGACCTCCAGAGATGTTGATGTCCGTATGTCTATGCATACCCACCCTTTACCTCCCTGCATATGGAAAAGTCAAAGCGAATGAGGCCAACAGAGAAGCAGAAAGCCTGACCACAACCAAGAAACTGAGATTGGGCATTTTGATTCCTCAGCTCTCACTAGTCTGTTGACCTCAAAGGTGACCATGACCCTGCACTCCAGAGGCGTTCCTGGGAAACAGTCGTTTGAACGATACTGCTTAAACTAGTTGGGGTTAGATTTCTATCAGACCCAATAAAACCCTGGGACACTTACAATGAAGCATTACTTGTCTCATGCCTGTCAACTGTGTTTCCTCAAGGACACTGTAACTCTTTTGAGATCAGAGTTCGTGTCCCAGTTCTATGGATGTCCTTCTAAGGTTAATTTAAATGAATTTTAATTTTATTGATTTGAAGGCAGAGAGAGAGAAAGAGATATATCTCCTATCTGCTACTTCATCCCCCAAATAGCCTCAGCACTGGGGCTGAGCCAGGATGAAATCAGGAGCCAGAAACACAATCTGGGTTTTCCAAGCAGATGGCAAGAATCCATAAACTTGGGCCATTCCCTGCTGCCTCGTGTGACGCGCATACACAGGAGGCTGGAATTGGGGGTGTAGCTAGAACTCAAACTCAGCCAGTATACTGAGAATCTGGTATCCCCAGCAGTGTCTTAACTGCTTCATCAGCTGCTTACCCCTTCAAAACTATTTTCTGATTTAGGCCTTATTTACATGTCATTTAAAATATATATAAATATAAGTTACACCCGTGCATTTTTTTTGGTTTCCACATTTTTCTTGACTCTCTTCATAAAAGATGTATTTCCTTTTAAAAAAATTTTTTACTTCTATTTATTATTATCATTTTATAATACAGTTCCATAGGCCCTGGGATTTCCCTTATCTCCTCCCCAATTCACTCCCCCATCACTGAGATCCCCTATATAGTTACTATAGTATAGTTTTTCATACACAGTCATATGTCCACCATTGCGGGCATGGACAATGGCAGAGAGTCCAGCAAAAAGATGTATTTTCTAGGTGTCGAGCTTGCATATGTTCTGATCTCTTGTAAGATGGAGGTCTTGGCTAACATCATACATTAGTGAGTTAAGCCACTTATGATGCCAGTATCCCAGAAAGGTGCTGGTTGGTGTCCATACTGCTTCACTTCCAATACAGCTCCCTGCTAGTGTCCTGGGAAAGAAGTAGAAGATGACTCCAGTTGTTGGGCCCCTGCATCCACGGAGGAGATCTGAATGAAGCTTCTGGCTGAATTCTGCCTTGGCTGTTGTGACCATCTGGGGAGGGAACCAGCATTGGAAGATTTCTCTCTGCCTTTCAAATAAACAAATAAATATATATATATATTTAATTAACTAGCGATACAGTGGTTTTGTCTTTTTGTTTGTTTGTTTTAATGAAGGTCTTTAAGATGAACCATTTGACCTACATGCTGCTGAAATAGCAGGGGCACCAGAACAAGCGCCCCACCCTCAGAGACGGTCTGACCTCCGCTGGCACTTAGATGGACCTTTGGAAAGGGTCACTTTTAAAAGAGAGCCTTAAAGAACTGCATGAAAATCAGAAACAGCAAGCATTCACTTTCTGCAGTCATTTGTCTTTCCCTCCTAGCTTATATCCCCGCATTCCATTCATCCAAGAGCAGTGTTCCCCAGCTGATTAAAGTGTTTACCCAGGTCCCATTATCCTGAGTCAGTGGTGTGTTTTTGTTTCCCAGCCTGCCTTCTGACTGCAATTCACTAACAGTCCTGTGGGAGGTGTTCTGGTGAGCAGTTTTCAAAATTCTCCTCTTTAGATGATGTAAGCAGAAACTCAGCCCCTTCTCTAGAGTCACTATGACTATGTGGGTTAAAGAGGGAGGTTACCGTGCCTTTATTATTATTATTACGCCTGATCTAATCATTTGATCCCTGAAACACAGAGAAGTTGTTCAGGAGTCAGAGATGGGGCACAAGAAGTTGCAGGAGAGGGGAACGTGTTAGTGGACATTAGCGGGAGCTCAAGTTGCGAAGGAGTTGACTGGTCACTGCTGGCGTTTGTCGAGTCTACTCTCCAAGAAATTTAAAAGCTCAGAGGAAACAGGAGCTGTCCAGATCTGAAGGATCCTCAAAGCCGATTTCTCCCGGAGAGAGTTTCGACTGCGGACTGTATGTAGTCCTGTTGTCATTTTACCCTTGCAGTTCTAGATCAGAGACTGGAGAGATGCAATCCCTCAGATCCCCCAAAAAAAGTTGGCAGGGAGGGAAAAAAAATCCCTCTGCAGAGTTGGGAAGACCCGATTAAAAAAAATAATAATAATAGGAGGTACTTTGCTACAGTCAAGGGCTGGATGCAATAGACACCAGGTCCCTACAAACACGGGCCAGTTAAGTAAATCCAAGAGACGAAGCCTCATCGTCTAGCTGCAGTTCGTACAGGCATCTCTCGCACAAGTGGAAAAAAAAAAAAAAACCCACGGGAACACCCGGGATCCCCGAGTGGGAGTCACACTGTCGGCACCTGCCACTCCTGCAGGCGCACCAGACTGCGCACGCTCCGACTGGACGAGCCCAACTCTGCAGCCTGTGCTGGGGGAGGCTAAGCGTCTGTTAAATAATCCTCCCCTTCTGAAGTCATCTTTCAAATATTCGGCTTTTTTTAGCCCTGGAAGTAACCATTTTGTTTCTCTTTATCTCCTTTTACCTTTGTGAATGAGATGAAAGATGAGCCAAACCTAGGCTTCTATCCTACTCCCCCCTCACATCCACGGCGTGTGCCGGTCCATAGGATTCATGGAGAGGAAGCGGAAGTGTTGGCAGGCGGGGGGCGTGTCTGCTGGTGTCCGCCGCGAGTCCTGGGTCCGGCCATGGAGGGGACCAGCGAGCCGGTGCTGGATGCTAGCTCCAGAGTAAGTCCGGGCCTGGAAGGAGAGAGGGCTGCGGGGCTCGGGAGCGAGAACGGTCTTTCTCTAAGTTTCTTTTTTTTTTTTTCCGTTCCAGGTCACCAACCAGGTGAGTGACTGTCCTGCCTCCCGCCAGCGGCGGGGGATGCTGTCCTTCGCCTGCTCCCTGCTCTTTCCCCATTCCGTTTTCCGAGAACCAAGAACCTTCAGTCGGCTTTGCTGCGTTGCTCTAACCGCTTTACACCTGCCATGGTGCCAACTGGCCGCTGTCATTTACGCTCCGCGACCTACTCCAGTCCCAGACCAGGCATGGTTATTCCGTGATGGGACCACCTTGGCGCCAAGTTCAAAACCCAGCATTTTAGACTGTTATAGCTATGGAAGAGAGTATGAAAATGTACTGACAGCACACTGCACACATTTTTCTTTAGTCTTCCAAAAAATCGATTTATATCAGAGTATGTGTTTTTAAATGCTAAGAGTAAGAATTTGACGTTTTCAAGAATATCAGTCTTGTTGCTTTGCTAACAGTGTGCCTGCACTGTTGCACCCTTTTTTAGGACAATTAACTCACGACACACTTCCCAGTCGTTCCCTAAAACTAGGTTATTTTAGGTCAGGAGATAGTCAGCTCCGTACAGAATGTAGGAAAGACCTGAGATAAGAAGTCTTGAGAATGTAAGGGTTGAAAGAAGCCCCTTGTCTACGCTCTGTCATTTGTCTCCTGCTGGTCTTGCTGTTGCTTTTGAGGGTCGCTGGGAGGTAGCAGAACTCTGGGAGACAGTAAGAACCTTTGCTATCTAATTTGTTGTTGATGGAGTAAGTGTATTTTTAAAATTGACTTGAGAGACAGTGAGCATCCATTTGCTGAATAGTTTCTGCTATGCCTTTATTTGCATGGCCAGGAAAGGACCAAAGCCAGAAGTGGGGACCAAATCCAGGACTTGTATTTGGGTGGCAGGATCCCAGGAAGTAGCTACAGAAGATGTATTGACTCTGCTCTCTTCAGCAATCCTTGGATTCAGAGTTGGATCTCTAAACAAACAAAAAAATCTCTGAGGGGGGAATGAAATGGGATAGGTAGGTAATTAACTTAGGGTCCTGAACTGGAAGCCACACTCCCTCTGCTCTTTGTAAATCAATCATTTCCCCCATGACACACTTCCCCTCAGTTAGGAACATGGATAGGATCATGAAACCACTCCATTCCCAGGATCATATCAAGACTGGTGATGCCCAAGGGCGATCTCTCTTTCTGCAAACAGAATATAAGGCAGAAACATTTCCCTTTCCATACCTCAACATGCCCCATGTGTATCCATGCTTACCTCACAATTTAAATAAATTTAACCACTTTTAAAAGATACCCCAAAGCATTTGGAGTCCCCTTAAGTGCAGAAACAAAGTTTAAGCCTGTTAAAGAAAACCTTGCTACCATATCTTCTACTTCATTAGCCACCTGCTGGAGCTTTTTGTTGTTTTGTTTTTCACTTTTTGCTTTTTTCCTTTTTGACTCTGATGGTATTATTTTGTTTTTATCTTCCCATTAGTTTATAGCCCTGTTACTTCTCTATTTTCCATTGATAATCATTCATCTGGCAATTTTTAAGTGAAAATATTTGCTTTTACTATGACCATTATTGAAAATGACGGATAAGTGTGGAGCAGTGAAATTGAGAACGTGTCTGCATTCAGTGCTATTACTAATGAATTATTTTGTGCTGCTTTATGACAGCTTATAGATTTCCAGTGGAAACTTGGTATGGCTGTGAGCTCGGACAGCTGCAGATCTCTTAAGTATCCTTATGTTGCAGTGATGCTGAAAGTAATGGATCCTGCAGGTCAAGTAAAGAGCAGATCGTTTGAAATGACAATTCCACAGTTTCAGGTTCGTGACTTAACACACCCCATTTTGGTTTGTTTTTTTTCTTAGTTGCTGCTAAAAAGATATACAGAATATTTCTTAGGGAAAATCTTAATAGTTTATATTTGCAAGTTCATGCACTTTTTACTTATGAGTACACACAAAGATGTAAATTTTTTTCCCTTGCGAATTTAATAAATTTAATAAATTTCACTGTCATGTGTTGAATTTGTCCTCTCTGCCATTTGGTTACTTTAGTTTTGTCTTCTCAAGCAGCATATTTGTTTGCTTTTAACTGTTGTATATTTATTTATTTAGATTTAATATGTAGTAGTGTTGAGCTAAATGAGCCTTTTTTTAAGATAAATGAACCTTTTCTTTGAATAGTATTGATTGAATTTTCTGACTAGTGTTACAAGAAAAATGTAAGAGTAACCTGTTTGTTGACTGGTTTTATTAACTAGATTTAAGGAACTGAAATATATAATATATATAATACATACACATACATATGGCTGTGTATATATTTATATTTAGTTATTCAGATTATAAATCTGCCTTTTTTTTCCATAGCCAAGGAATATACAAAATGTTTCATTTCAGAGTATACACCTGGAAGTCTTTTGTATTTGACAAAGACAGATCTCTGTCTCTCCTCTCTGTAAATCTGTTAAATAAGAATAAAGCTTTAAATATATTTTTGTTTACATTATAAAGAAGAGAGAGCACTCCGTCCTACCCATGGTTCACTCTCCAGATGCCAACAGTGGCCATGGCTACCCAGGGCTGGGCTAAGCTGGTACTTAATCCAGCTCTCCCACACGGGTGGCAGGGGCCCAGTCACCTGGCTAGTCCCCTTCTACCTCGCAGGTGCTCTACCAGCAGGAAGCTGGAGTAAGGAGCCAGAGCCAGGCACTGAAGTTAGGTACTCTTGGTACTAGACAAGGCATTTCAGTTGGCATTCTAACAGGAAGGAAGTGCCTGCCCCATACGCTGTATTTTAAGGAGTTTTCGTTTCATTTGCTTCTTTGAAAACAAGTAATCCTCACTTTAAAATGAAAATAGTAGTCACAAATTCAGCATTTTTAATGTTAATGAATCTCTTGTAGGAAATTGGGACTTGGTTAAAAAAAACGGGGGGGGGTATAAATGTGTATATTGTGATATGTGAGTAGCCTTCAACTGAGTATAAGGACCATACCAATTTCAAAAATAATGTGAACTTTTTTTTTATGTTTCCATTTTATAATTCGTAGAGCTGGCATTCTTTTTTATGCAGTATTCCCACTCTCTGATTACATCTTTAGAATTTTTTCTCCCATGGGGGGATATATAGGAATCACAGATGAAGCAACTCATTTTTTTCCTGGTTTTATTAAGGTAATAGTGCCAAATTGAAATGATGTATGTATACATTGTGGAATGATTACCATCATCATATAGTTCTCTCTTTTCTTATGTGTATGTGGGAAAGAAATTTAAAATGTATTCCTGCAGCAAATTTCAAGTATACAGTACTCTTATTTTTAAGATTTTTTAAGGATTTGTTTTATTGGGAAAGGCAGAGTTACAGAGAGAAGGAGAGGCAGAGGGACAGACCTTATATCCACTGTTTCACTCCCAAAATGGTCACAACAGCAAAGCTGAGCTGGTCAGAAGCCAGGAACTTCTGGATCTCCAAGGATTTGAGCCGTGCTCCACTGCCTTCCCAGATGCTAAGCAGGGAGCTGTATAGGAAGTGGAGCAGACAGAACATGGACTGACACCCGTATGGGATGTTGGAGGCACTGGCTGTGGCTTAGCTTACTATACCACGTGCCAGCCCCTAAAGATGTTATTTGTAGTGCAAAAGGCAGAGTTACAGAGAGAGGTCGATCTTCCATCTGCTTCTTCACTCTCCGGATGGCCGCCTGAAGCTCCATCCATGTTTCCTAAATTGATGCAGGGGCCTAGGCATTTGGACCATCTTCTGATGCTTTCTCAGGAGCTTTATGAAGGAGCTGGATCAGAAACAGAGCAGGTGGTGGCTAAAGCTATTGTGCCACAATAGTGGTACCAAATATTCACTATGATTAACTAGAGCCACCATATATGTATTAGATAGCAGACTTAAAAATAATAATAATAATAAAATTGTCTGAGCTGGATTATGCTGAAGCCAGGAGCCAAGAACTTCATGCAGATCTCCTATGTGGGTGGCGGAAGTCTAAGTGCTTGGTCCAGCATCTGCTGCCTCCCAGGTGTATTACCAGTTAGAGCAGAATCCTGGAGTAGCCTGGAATCAAAGCAGGCACTTTGATATTAGTGCCTGGTATAGCAAGACACACTGTGTAGGATACTAGTGTAGCGAGAGGTAACTTAATCCACTGTACCTCAAAAGTTGCCCAAGTTCGTTTTATTGCTGGAAATTTTTGTTATGACCAGTGATATTCTTCCATTTTTCCCAAACCCAAGTGCCTAAAAACTTGCATTCTAGTATCTGCTCTTATGAGTTAAACTTTTGGGTTTCCACATACAAGTGACTTTTTTGCCATGCATAATGTGCTCCATAATCCTTCATATTGTGTCAAACAGGAGAATTTCCTTGTTTTTTTTTTTTTTATGGCTGAATGATATTTTGTTGTGTATGTATTGTTACCGGCAAAACTTGGTAGTTTCTTTCTCCAGATTAATATAAAAATAAAAAGCCAGTGATCAGTTGTAGATAGAGAAATTTTATTTTTGAAGTGAACCAACAAATGAGAAAAGAAGAAGAGGGGAAATCACCTCCCAGGAGGGATCCAGAAGGTGGGATGCATCTTGAAAGGAGAGACCAAAGATTTTCACAAGGGACCCCTCCTTGTCTGGGCTAGAAACTGCAGGGAAGATGTTCCCCATTGGTGATTTCTCAACCAGTTAGGAAATGGCTGGACAGTTCCTGTGCCACCCACTTGAAGCTGTGGCCAGTATTTTAGCATGCTTGGAGATATGGGTATATACATATGTGCATGTATATATACACATATGTTCCGCATATGTAAAGAAGATTTTCCCTAATGGGAAACTTAAATATAGTTTTTGTATGGCTTACAGCCAACCAGCGAGCCGCCTGTTGTTCTTATTACATAATTGAGAACTATGGGACATTCTTTGATTTCTTTTTAATTTATATCTTTGTGTTAGCTGTGATTTTGACCAATAAAATATATTTTTAAAGAAATAATTATACCTGCCTTTATCTTGTAACAAATTTACATATTTATTAGATAAAATATAATTGTTGTTTGAATAAAAAAATAGGAACAAGTTTGGGTAGTACAAAAATGCAAATCACTGGGGAATATCTTGACTGCTGAGTTAGCTTTTAAGTTAACTTCTAGCTTTGTGATAGAGGAAAGAAGAACGGTTTATTTATCTTTCTCTTAGCTGAGATTTTTAAAAAGAAGATGGCATGTACGAGAAAGCCACCACAGAGGCTTCGTTTTTAGAAGACAGCAAAACAAATGAATATAAGTAAGCCCTTGTCATTGTTGGGTTTCTCTTGCAGTAGATGAATCCATTATCTTAAGCAGTACAGCCTTCCTACCTGAAACGCAGGCTTTCTCTATTCTTGCAATGATTTGGAGCCAGGAACACAAGATAGACTTGTTTTGATCTTCGGTGTCTAAGACAGTGTTAGGTGTTTAATGAGTCTTTCTGGTATGAATTTAAAAAGAACTTTATCTGTGTTTTTAGAAAAGCTTTCTCATGGGCTTCTTATTCAATTCTATAATAGTATTCTTGCTTGACTGCCAAGTTGCACCTGTTTGTTCCTTAAAGCATGTTTCTATAGTTAGAATGTAGCATTAAAATGTAAAACTTAGTATAATAAGATAGGTACAATTTGATAAGCCAGTTAAATATCTTTCAAAAGTAAACATTGTTTTCTTCTTTCTCTCCAGAATTTCTACAGACAGTTCAAGGAAATTGCTGCAGTTATTGAAACTGTGTGATGATTATCTCATTGATAAATGAGCACCGAGCTTTGAAAATGGTAGACTTCACTTTCTGCAACAGAACTGCATAAGGTTCAAATCACATTTGTTGAATAAATATTGCACTTTTGTTTTTCATTTTTTTAAATAATGAGAAGAGACAACCGATTTATTTAGTAGTAGTCAATGCACAGCCTTATACTAAAAGTGACACATTGAACAGGTAGAAGTATATACTGTATTAATTATATTTCAATTAAAAAAAGATAAGTGTAATGTATTGAAGGCAACATCAGTGTTTGATTTATGATTAGAACAACAGTTTTTTACACCTAATGGAAATACATTTTATAAACAATTTTTATATTGAAGTGAATATGTGAAGAATATGTAAATTACAAAAGTTTTTTTAAAAAATGATTTGTTTTATTTCATTTGAAAGTCTGACTTACGAGAGAGAAAGAGAAAGATCTCCCATCTGCTATTTCATTTCCCAAATGGCTGACATTGCCAGAGTTGGACTGGTCTGAAGCTGGGAGCCAGGAGTTGCTTCTGTGTCTTCTATTTGAGTGCAAGGGCCCAAGGCTTTGTGCTATCCTCTCTTGCCCTCCCAGGCCATCAGCAGGGAGGTGGATAAGAACTGGAACATCTTGGAAAGAAACCAACTTTCATATGGGATGCTGATGCCACAGGCTGAAGATTAGTATGCTATGTTATCATGACAATCTAAGAAAAGTAATGGGAGATAACAGACACACACCCTCCCCCCACCCCCCCACCCCTGACACACACACACACACACACACACACACACACACACACACACACACACACACACACACACATTGAGAGAGAAAGAACAAAATTGCTGATTCGTTCCCCTAAGTGGTTATTGTGTCCAGAGCTGGTCCAGAACAAAGCCAGGAGCCTAGAATTTCATCCAGGTCTTCCATGTAAGTGTCAGAAATCCAAGTCCTTAAATTACATCTACTGCTTTTCACAGAGCATGATTAGGAAACTGGAATCAAAGTGGAGTAGCTAGGATTTGAACTAATCACTGCTCTGTGAAATGTGCATGTCCCAAGGGGCAGTTCAGTCCACTGCCAATGCATACCTCAGAAAAGTAGATGTTTAAAAAGTCTGTTTATTTACTTGTATTTACTTGAAAAGCAAGAGTGACAGACATAAAGAGGAATATTTTATCTACTACTTGTTAGTGATGAATAAATGGAGAATACGAAGTAGTACAGAACTGCATTTTTATTCTTGTAGCATAGCAGCCATCATGTCACAGGATGACATAAGGAGACAAAGTGAGGTTTTTATACTTTTACAAAAATATAGTGCACCTGGTGGGGAAGCTGGTGTGCATAATACAGATTAGCAAAGTTTCCACAAAGTCAGAATACCCCACAACAGTTCCAAGCACAGGGTAGACAAGTAGCTCTACTGTGGGAAGGAAGGAATCGGCAACATTCCAAGGATAACAACACATCAGACACTAGGGTCAGCCCTTCCATGACTGCAGGCGTATGAACAGCTCTTGCATGTACACAGGGGGTCCTCTGCTTTATGTCTCTCTTGGAATGTCTGCCAAGTTTCCACGGTAGCTGGGCCAGCCCAGTCTGAAGGTAGGAACCAGAAACTCCATCTAGATCTCATGTAGATTGTGGGGATTTAGGACCAGAGCCATAATCTGCCTCCCTGAGTGCTCATTAGTGGGCAGCTGGACCAAAAGTAGAGGCAGGAATCTGTCCCAGGCACCCTCATAAGGGATATGCACATGCTGAGCCTCTGTGCCACACCAGCTCCAGGACAGTAGATTTTTATTCAAGTAACCAGAGAAATTTAGTTTTATAGCATCTGTTTATTATGAAGATTATCAGAATGAAACTTCTTTGCTCAGACATTTGAAATTGGATTATGAAATTGAAATATGGACCACTACTCCTTCACTACCCTAGCATGCACCTGTTTCTGTTACTGTTATTTACAGACTGTCCACCGTGTCCACTGCCAGTAAAATCTGGTGTTTTCAGCACAAAGTAGCATTGTACCTGAAGGTCATTGCAGGTGCAAATCTGCCAGGTGTCATGCATCTGTCAGATGTCTGCATTGTGAATAAGGCTGCTGGCTTTCTTAGCCTCACTTTATTCCACATTAGTTCCTGTCATTTGTGTCCTTTAGACACAAAAATGTGATTACTTGAATCTCCACACTTTTAGTACTTATGAAAGGGAGATTTAGAAGATCAAGAATGGTGTTAAATGTTCTTACTCAGTAGACATACAAATTATTATCATCTTTTTGAAAAGAATTTATGTGTCCTGTAGAACTCTGCAGCCTAGAAATTATTCCATGAAATAAAGGCACAAGTATGTAAAACAAATTTGCCAACTACCCAAATGTTCAACCTTTTTTTTTTTTTTTTTTGAGGAAGACTGCATTTCCCAGCCTCCCTTTCAGTTCATTTAGGACCACCAGGTTAGGTTGTAGCCAGTGGAAGCTGGGTATCAGTGTCCTAAGCCATAGGCCAGCTTGGTCACTCATTATTCCTTGCCAGCTTCTAAGAGTATTAGCGGAATGCTGTGTTGGAAGTTGGAGCAGCTGGCACTTAGCCTGGCACTGATATGGGCATGGGCAACTGATGTAGCATCTTAATACAACACTCACCCTAGTAACTATAATGTGCTTAAGAGGAATCCTTATTTACAATTTTTTAAATTGTACTTTAGATTTTTAATTTGTATTTTTTAAAGAATATTTAGATTTATAGAAAAATTGTGTAGCCAGTACAGAAAGAGCCAATGTATCTCACACCCAATTTCCCCTATTAATAACTTCTATTTCTTTTATTGGAAAGAAATTTACACAGAGAAGGAGAAACAGAGAGGGAGAGAGATCTTCCATCCACTGGTTCACTCCCCCAAAGGCTGCGATGGCTGGAGCTGGGGCAAGAAATTTTTCTGGGTTTCCCACATGGGTGGAGAGGTCCAAGAACTTAGGCCATCTTCTGCTACTTTCATAGGCCATAAGCAGGGTCCTGGACCAGGAGCGAAGCAGCTGGGACTGAAACCAGCTCCCATATGAAATGCCAGTGGTGATGGTGGAGGTTTAGCTTGCATGCCATCATGCCAGCCCCATTGACAACATCTTACGCTTATTTGATACAACTGTAATTACTAGGTAAAAACCAAAGAAACCTAGCTGGTTTAGTCCTGGGTGCTTTGCTCCTGGTCCACTTTGATTATCCTATGCTGCTTTCTCAGGCCATAAACAGGGAGCTAGATGGGAAGTGAAGCAGCCAGGATGTGAAATTACACCCATATGGGATCCCAGCACTTGTGGGTGAAAGATTAGTCTGTTGAGCCATGTCACTGCTGCCTCCAGGCCCCACAACCCCTGGCTCTTCCCTGCATACACACACACACACACACACACACACACACACACACACACACACACACACACACACCCTTTTATTTGGTGATTCCTTCCCAAAAATGTCTGCAACAACCAGGGCTGGGCAAAGAGCAAAACCAGAGCCCAGAACTCCACTCCGGATTCTATGTGAGTGTAGGAACTAAAGCACATGGGGCACCTTTGCTGCCTTGCACAGTGTGCACCAACAGGAAGTAGAGTAGCCAGGATTTGAACCATGCCCTCTGAAATAGGATGTGGGTACCTCATGCAGTGAGTTAACTAGTTGTATCACAAGACCTATCTGTCAACCTTTTGTTTCACTGTAATGAATACCTGAGGCACTTAATACGAGAAAAGATTTCGTCAACTGACAGTTGTCAGATTCACAGCCCTAGACCAAAGGAGTCCCATTTGGTCATCATTTGGTCAATGCGTCCTTGCTACTGGAGTTCCAGATGCTGTAAACATCTGTGTGTGTCTGTGTGGACACAGACTATCACAGGGCTTTCCTATGGGGGGGGGGGTCCTATCCTAATAACCAATCTGATACTTGACAAAAGCTCCACACCCAAATATCTTAATTGGATTAAGTTTGTTCCTCTTAGTACCATAACAATAAAACTTTGGGCACTAAGTCTTTAAGATTGGGGTAACAAGTATTCAAAATGTAAGACAGAACTTCCTACAATATTTGTTAAAAATTCTGGGAATCGGGCCCAGCGCGGTGGCGCAAGTGGTTAAGGTCCTCACCTTGCATGCCCGGGATCCCATATGGGCGCTGGTTCTAATCCCGGAGGCCCCTCTTCCCATCCAGCTCCCTGCCTATGGCCCGGGAAAGCAGCCGAGGACGGCCCAAGGCTTTGGGACCCTGCACCCGTGTGGGAGACCCGGAAGAGGCTCCTGGCTTTGGATCGGCATAGCATCGACCGTTGCGCTCACTTGGGGAGTGAATCATTGAATGGAAGATCTTCCTCTCTGTCTCTTCTCTATGTATATCTGCCTTTCCAATAAAAAAAAAAAAATTCTGGGAATCAACATTCTTAACAACTCTATGCCTAAAGAAGAGTTCTGTAACTGTAGGTAAGAAAGGAAAAAAAGGTATCTGAGAACAAATTTTTTCTCCTCTCAATGTTAAGACAAATATACGTATGGAGTATTATTTGAATATGGAATGTAAAGGTGGATACTAAAGGCTTCCCAGAGTTCCTAATCAAAAAGAAAAAAAATTAGGTAAAGAGATTGTGCAGTATAAAATCCCAGCTGTATCAGTGATAATCATTGTAAAACAATGTTTTACATACTAAAGCATGAATGCAAAATTCATTAGTGTAACCTCAAACTATCTGGCATTGCATTCTTCTTTTTTCCCATCATTGAAAAGTGTTGTTGTGACAAATATAGTCAGAGATTTTGACATTTCTATAGGGATTTGGCACTTCCCAACAAAATAAAAGTACATTTCAGGGAAAATATGTTGATAATGGTAAGAGGACCATGAACATCACCAGAGGGAGTATTCTTTGGTATAGCCAATTTGGTAAATGATGTGGATTTTCTTATAAAGTTGGATTATCTATGTCTTGTGACTCAGCAGTTCCACCAGTAAAACTCTTCAAGGATGCTCATAGCTTCTGGCTCCCGGCAGCTAAAACCTGACACCTACTCAAATGACCATCACCCATAATCAAGGTACTTTAAATCACACACAAAATCATAAATGAATTTATCAATCTGAGCATGTTTATGTATGTGAAAACTTATTCAACAAAGAAATAAGAATAAAAGTAATATCACGGACAGTGGTGATCTCCAGATCATGAGTAGGGAAGGCATTAGGGACAGAATATGAGAAGACCACAGTAGATATAAACTCCTGGTAATGGTCAAGTCTTTGGATTGATAGGTTCATATTTATCCTATTAATACATTCCTAAAATAAAAGGGGGCTTAGATTAAAAATGAAAGTAAAACCAAAGACCATGATTAAATAATTAATCCAATTTCCAGTTCTGTGCTTCTGAACATAAGCAAAGATGTAACAAACATGATAGATAGCATTCTATTGAGGATATCATAAATATTTGTATTTAACAGAACTCTGTGGGCCTACTAACTAGAATTAAACAGGTAGTGCCTCTCACCTAAGAAGAATGATTCATCCTGAACAATTTCAATGAAGACTGGTTAAATACTTTGAAGTCCACTTGTTTTATTTTAATGACAAACATAATGGTTATGTCTTTGCTTCATTGTTCATTTAGGAATGTATATGGAATATCTGCTGTACTCCAGATGTTTCACTCATCACTTAATACAAAGGCAGTTCCATAGGATCAACCGTCTGCTGGGAAAGTCAAACATCTAATAACTATCACAAAATCTAATTGGCTAGTTCGTCAATTTAATCATTTTGAAGGCTAAACAAATCAAATTATGTATGTGGCATTGGGCATAAATTCTTCATTATACCAAAATCCCCACTTTGCTGTGGACATGTAACTCCTGCACTCTTTCCAAATGAGAATTCTACTTGTGTCATCATCATCATCATCATCATCATCATCATCAACCCTGCTTCACCAGCAGGTAAGAGGTAGGAAAACTGACTGACTTTGGGTTGGGTCTGTGGGTTTCTGTACATTCTGCGTTTAAATATTGTGCATCCAATGGAAAATGTACACTTGTAAAGGTGTGTTTTCTAAGTGTGGGAGGATTTTCCATGTGATGGGGCTGGATTGTTTCTGATAGAGATGTCTCTAGCTATTTCCTTAGCTGAAAATTAGTGGTAACAACTTCCAGTGTTGTTGTGACCATCAGATATCACATATAAAGTACAGTAAATCCTGAAGACAATACTCTTAAGAAATTTAAATGAGAAGAATGTTCAATGAACATGAAATTTGAGAATGGGAAATTGTGCAAGCTCCAAGCAGCCATCTGCAGCATGAAAATCTCTGCTCAGAACAACTAACAGCTAATCAATTTTGTCACTCCCTGCTACCGTGCTTATGAGACACACTGACTATGTCTCAATTTTTGGCTGTCATTTTCCAGTGTTAACTGCTTGCTCTTTCTTTGCTCATATACTCTTTCTTCAGTCATATTACAGATTCAGTGTTCCTCTTTCACTTCTATGCCATCTTCGTACATGGCTTATCTGAAAAGTGCTGCAGTGTCTGGCAATAATACCTACAGTAAAAAGGGCAAGAAAAACACCTAATAAATCAGGCCATTCTAAAAACATCAACAGGAAAGGAATAAGCACAAAGTGAGTTCCAGACAGAGAGCTCTGTACAGTGTACCATACTGGACAACGATGTGGGGTAGATTGTAACTCATCAATTGAAGATGAGTATTCTGAAGTTCAAACAAATAACAGCAAATCATTTTTTTTACTCATTACAGTCACTGTGTATGAAAGTAAGCATATAGTTCTAGATAATCCTACTTTATTTAAGAGACCTGTGCCTGAGATCCTTCCTAACACAGATGTCACAGACAATATCCTGTCACCAGTAAAAGAGAATTTCTCATCAATGGCTTGCAACGTTGGTTACAATGTTGTAATCACAATAAAACAAACTGTAACCAAATGTTAGTTTCTTGAATTGCAAAGTTTAGACTTGATTAGTAACACATTTATGTACTCTTTATTTTCTTGGAGCACAAATGACTGAATCCCGAGTTAATGATTCCAAGTAGCTCAAGGGAAGGCCACTGGTCTTGAAAACCACGGTAAGTTTTGGTAATTCTATCAGCTGTGCTGATAGGACTCAAGTACAATTGAATTCAGTGGAAAGAGACAGCCATAAAGGGAAAGGAGAGGGGCCCGAACTACAGGCGACACCAGCTGCCAGTTTCCAAGTGTGCCAGTGGAGTCACAGAGGACATGCTTCATTCTTCAACAAGTTGTGACACAGTGTGTGAAATGTGCCACCCACAGGCATTAGCAGGGAATTGGATCCTAAGTGAAACAGCTGAAATTCACTCACATGGGATGCAGGCACCATAGGGAGAGAAGTAACCAATTATGCCATCCCGCTGGTCCTGAACCTTGCCTTTCAAATCAATAAGCAAATTTTTAAAAAATGATAAATAGTCATGCCTGAAATGTTAACTTCTTTGTACAAGGACAACAAGAATAAAAATTCTGGCGGTATCCTGCTATGTAGCTTTATATATATTACTGCAAAAACTAACTACTCTTGGGTTATTTCATTAATATTAATCTATCGTGAATTATATTGAATGGAGAATGCTAGCATAAATTTTGCCTGTACATCCTGTACATTCTACTATGTTTATTAAGAACTTTAGAATTTAAATATTAAAACATTTCAGACTTGAATATTTGTTATGTGTGTCATCAGTTAAATGAAAACTTTATTTCATGTGACATTTTCATATGAGTGTGCTGATTTTAGTACCATGTAAATTTGATAAGGGAGCTATTACAGCTGTTGATTTAACCACTGCTCCACAGCACACAGAAATACTAAGTATAATAGATTGCATATCTTAATGGACTTGCTCTTGATTTATGTTCCTTCGAATTACAGGTGTCCCAGGAGAAAAAGGCTATTAATCCTTTGACTAGTTACTATTTTAGCACAGGAGGAACATTTGTTAAGGAAAAGCACTTACATGTCTTACTGTATTTCATATTCCTGCACCAAGGAGAAGAGCAAAGAAATGTTCCATGTGCCATTAAAAAATCATTATTATCAAGAAAAGACTAGCAAGAGGTAGGGAAATCTCACATTCTATTTTAGTATTTGTGCTGCCAAAGCGAGCACAGATCTCAGATTCTAAACCATAATAAGGCAAGCAATAGGTTTGAGGAGCTCAGGCAGAAATTAACATTCTGACCCAGAAGGGTCAAGGCTGATGGTAAACCCACATCCGATTCAGAGCTTTTGAGTCATATACTAGGTACTGTTAGACCTTTGTTTTGAGCAAAATAAACAGCCACCCACAAGTAACCCTAAGACTGACCAAAGCTCGCTTTGTTGCAATCAAAATCCCCCCAAAACACAATATTTCTGATCAGTCAAAGGAGGACCTTTTACTAATGCGTGTCCTAGGAAGGAGCAGGTGATGACTCCCTGGTTGGGTCTCTGCTTTCTCACGCATGACCTAGACAGAATTTGAGGTTCTAGGCTTTAGGCTAGACCATCTCTGGTTGCTGCTGGCATTTTGTGAGTGAACCAGAGAATGGAAGATCTCTGTTCTCTCTGTCTTGCTGCCTTTCAAAGAAATGAAAGTAACAATTTTAAACATTGAAAATACAGTGGAACTAATACAAACATAATCACACTAAAACATCAAATATACAAATATGATAGAAATATATTATTCTATAGCAAATCACTTGCAGTAGAACTAATTTAACAAAGTATCATTTAAAGTAACACATGTGCTATATGATATGAAATGAAAAAAATATGATAAACAAAATGAAATATCCTTTAACTTTAAAAAAATGTATTTCTTTTATTATTTTAAGATACATAGGTTCTAGGATTTCCCTTCCTCTCTCCCCAAATTGTCACCCCTCCCCCCACTGATTTCTCCATATTATTACAATAATATAGTCTTCATAAACAGTCATGTCCATCATTCAGCTATTTAAGTATATCCTGACATTGTAAATATGGACATTGGCAGAGAGTCCAGCATCCTAGTGTCAAGGCATATTTAACAATTTCATTGGGAGTTCATCTTTGATTTGAAAGCAGAGATGTGTACTGCCTTGTATCTTCACATCTGGATGTGAGAGTCTCTGTAAAACCATTACTATACATCTCTTTAAATGAAAAGCCATAACACAAAATCACCAAACAGCTTTAACAAATAATGTGTTGGTGATGCTATGATTGTGTTATCTTTGTATTTTGTTTTTGTTTTTGCAATACTTCCAGCTGCTGTTTCAAATTCTTTTGGATTCCTCCTCATTGGCTAAATGGCATGGAGACACTCCCTAGAGAATCTATTACCTTAAAATGATTTTTTCTTTTTCAACATACTTTTGAATTTTTAAAATGTATGGCTTTTGATTTTATTCAGAAGGCTTAGAAATAGATCTATTTGCTGGCTCATATCCCAAATGCCCATAACAGGACAGGACCAGGACTGAAGTCTGGAGCTGGAGACTCCTCTGGGGTCTCCTGGGTGGGTAGAGGATTCAAGGACATGAGCCATTACTGGCTGCTTCCCAGGATGCCCAATCAGCAGGGCACTGGATCAGAAGATGCTCAGCAGCCAGTTCTTGGAGCAGGCACTCTGCAGGCATCCCAAGCAGAGTTGCCAGCTGCCATGTCAAATGTCTCCCCCCTTGATGGATGTATTTAAGAAGCTGTCTTCTTTCTAATCCAACCTTTTTGCCTTGTTATTATTGTGCATAAAAGGGCTTTATGTGCAGGACAGGAATCTGATTGAGTAGGCCAAGTCCTGTGTCCTTGGCTGACTCTTGGGACTCGTTTTTCTGGCCTTTCTTGTCCTCTGCTGTAGTGGCACAGTGGGAGCTAACGTAGAGGCAACCACAGCCCCCGCAGCAGGAAGGCCAGCCAGCTTGCCAATCCCTTGGGCAGTAACTCTTTCAGTGTGTTCTTCCCTTCAGTACCGAGGACCCGTTGAACTGGTGTTTCTGTGCCTCCATACCCAAAGCTGCTCCAGATCTTTCTATGCTTGGCCCTGGGGGAGGGGCTGCCCCAAGGGCAGGCATCTGGCCGACAGGAAGCAACAAAGTACAGCAGCTCAGGAGGTCAAAGAGGTGTTTCCTCATAAAAAAAATTATTTGGACTTTTTTCTCACATTCACAGAAAGTGTAAGGAAAATCATAAAAAGTCGCAGGGATTCTTACATACTCTTAACCCGTCACTCATCACCCTTAAATGCTGTGGTAAGGGCTTTCTATTACGAAGTAAGTATTTTACATAATTACAGTGACAATTCACATTGCTAGGTTATGATCCTCCACTTTTAATTCTTTGGGCCGTCCTTTACTGCCTTTCCAGGCCATAAGCAGGGAGCTAGCTGGATGAGAAGTGGAGCAGCTGGGGCATGAACCAGTGCCTATACTGGATCCTGGGCATGTAAGACAAAGATTTAACCACTGAGGCATTGCACTGGGCCCTAGGGTGGCACTCCTTCCCTGTTTGTCTCTGGCCACCCCTTGGTGGAGGAAAAAAAATGTGTTTCCGTTCACGTGGTGAGGCAGATACCCTGCCTCCTGCTAGCTCATCAGTCTGGACTTGGTGTCAGGGGATCCTCCCTTAAACAATATCACCAGAGGCTTAGGCTGCTGTGTGTTTCTCTCATCTTGCTCCAAGAAGCTGGTGTCCCTTAAAGCCACTAGCTGCAGGAGTCACTGATGATATTCTACTCATCTGGGCATGATGCCACCACCCCTGCTGCAGCACTCATCTCTTCATTCCGTAGAGTTTCCAATACACATTCTGTCTCCTGACAATGCCATTCCTTTCCTTTTCTTCTGTTATTTTCCCAGGTCAGGATCAGCACATCTCTTCCCTAGTCAGCCAGCTCAGATCTAGGTTATTGACTTTATAGATTCTGGGTTAGGTATTAATGTGGTTGTTAAGATGCTGCTCGGTATGACCTCATCCCATGTTAAAATGCCCTGGTTTGAATCCAGCCTTTCTCCAGAGTTCAGTTTTCTTCTAATGTGCACTCGCTGAGGCTGTAGTGATACTCAGGTTGAGTCCTTGCCATCCATGTGGAGACTGACTTCACACTGGCCCTTGCCCAGTTGCTGTAGTCATTTGGGGTAGAAACCAGATGTTGGAGGATGCGCAATCTCTCTGTTTCTGTGTGTTTCTCTGTCTCTACATTTTAAATAAGTTAAAATGTAGTATGTGCAAGTCGAATAGGAGGCAGTTAATTGGAAATGGCTCTCAATGATGAAAATTGAGACTATTTAGCAACAAAACAAATAACAAATTGTTAGATTATGAACCAAAGAATAGGGCCCGGCAGCGTGGCCTAGTGGCTAAAGTCCTCATCTTGAATGCACCCCGGGATCCCATATGGGCGCCAGTTCTAATCCCGGCAGCTCCACTTACCATCCAGCTCCCTGCTTGTGGCCTGGGAAAGCAGTAGAGGATGGCCCAAAGCCTTGGGACCCTGCACCCGCGTGAGGGAGACCCGGAAGAAGTTCCTGGTTCTCAGCTTCGGATTAGCGCAGCACCAGCCGTTGCATTCACTTGGGGAGTGAATCATCGGATCAAAGATCTTCCTCTCTGTCTCTCCTCCTCTTTCTATATCTGACTTTGTAATGAAAAATAAAATAAATCTTAAAAAAAAAGAAAAAACTGGTGCAGTGGTTAAGGTCCTCGCCTTGCATGCCCAGGATCCCATATGAGCGCCGGTTCTATCCCGGCAGCCCTGCTTCCCTTCCAGCTCCCTGCCTGTGGCCCGGGAAAGCAGTCGAGGACGGCCCAAAGCTTTGGGACCCTGCACCCGCGTGGGAGACCCGGAAGAGGCTCCTGGCTTCGGATCGGCATAGCATCGGCCGTTGCGCTCACTTGGGGAGTGAATCATCGGACGGACGATCTTCCTCTCTGTCTCTCCTCTGTATATCTGTCTTTCCAATAAGAAAATAATAAATCTTAAAAAAAAAAGAATAAGATAAATACTCCTGAATTCATAGTGATATAAATAAGTAGAATAAATAAATAATAGATGGAAAAGGGATAAGACTTCCTTGTAGAAACTCTTCAGAGAATACAAATCACTCTTCTCCCTCCCAGAGGAACTGAATCCCATTTCCCTGAGTGTGGGCTGGATATGCAGTGACCTGAGTGTAGTAACCTGACAAACACCAAACGATTGATGCTATTACCTATGATGTCATGTTGATATTCCTTGGTATGATATAATTAAAAGAAACCAGGACACATTGGTGAAATCATTGGGTCATAATCTAGGGTAGAAATACGTAAAGAACATTGCCAGACTGATTAGCAAAGAACAGATTCAACTACCAAAAGTTGGGTCAATTCCCAACATCCAGAACCTAAGAACCAGTGTATAACAAACAATTCAGCTTCCAAAGGCATGGAGAGGGATGCAAAATAAAGCAAACCCCTCCCCCCAAAATGTAGTAGAGAAATCAATAGTTAAAAAAAAAAGTTAAGAAACATACCACCTATCATGATGCGTTCATGGCATTTGGGGTTTTTTTTTAGAGATTTATTTATTTTTATTAGAAAGTCAGATTTATGAGTGAAGGAGAGACTGAAAGATCTTCCATCCACTGGCACACTTCCCAAGTGGCTGCAAAGGCTGAGCTCAGCCAATCTGAAGCCAGGAACCTGGAGCTTCCTCCAGGTCTGCCACACACAGGTGCAGGATCCAAGGCTTTGGGACATCCTCTACTGCTTTTGCAGGCCACAAGCAGGGAGCTAGAAGTGGAACAGCTGGTACACAAACTGGCAAACATATGGGGTCCTAGTGCATACAAGGTAAACATTTAGCCACTAAGCTGTGGGACCAGGCCCATGGCAATTTCTGATTGAAGCCTATTGTGAAAGAAATTATGACCATCAGAGAAATGTGAATAGTCACTGTAAATTTATAATGCACTGTTATGTTTTGGTGTAACAAAAATGGTTTATACGAATGCTAGGGGAGTTTTATAGCTGAAGTGTTATTAGTGGATTTGCATAAAAAACTTTGTGCACAGGTGTAAGCACATGGAGGTGCGGGTGAAACATGAGACATTTATCACCAGCTGTTAGATAATGGACACATTGGATTCATTTTATTACTGTCTTTTTAAATTGGTGTGTGCATTTCCATAGTAAGTTTTTTCTTTAATTTGAGAATTTACTATGGCTTACACAAACCAGAAAAGCACAAACATTTTTAGTTTGTAAATATATTTGATCATCTTCCAAGATGGGAAATGAACATGCATCATACAGCAATTTTAATCATGCAGCTGGACTACATTGTACATTTTGCCATCAGTCAAGAACACTTTGAGCCAGACGATGGGCTTTTTTATGCTTTGATTAGAATTGAATTGGTAAACAGCTTGCTCCATAATTATACTGGCAGTAGAAGATGCTTATTTGACTTTCACAAATTTCCAAAGAAATTTTATGCTCAAATCTTTTGGAAATACTAATTTGACTATAATCTTGAAAGTGTTTTTAATTAAGAAAAATAATGTTGGGATGTGTTAAATGAATGTAGAACAATATACAGATATACAAAAAAGCCCTCTCAAATCATGACATACATTTGAAGGCAGGATTTGTAGCTTAAGTCTATGTGAAATCTGTGAAAAACTACTGAGGAATAGAGACAAGTGGCCATCTTTTAATATTTTTTTT